TCCACATGTTCAAAATATATCATGAAAACTGCTACTGGAGAAACAAATGTTGTCACTGGCATTGGCACTGTTAAAATTACCCCTTCCATGACCTTAACTAATGTCCTTCTTGTTCCTACATTAGATAAGGATCTATTATCTGTGTCCAAACTTACGGCAGAGTATTCTTCCCATTTTTTCCCACAACATTGTTATTTTCAGGATCTTCACACTCAGGAGGAGGTGGGTCGTGGTTTTAGGAGAGGGGATTTATGGTACTTTCATGGTTCAAATTCAGACATTGTTGCACATCAAGCTAATAAGCAAGTTCTGGAGAATGAGAAGATGATTTGGTTGTGGCATCAACGGTTAGGACACCCATCATTTGGATATTTAAAGCACCTTTTACCTTCTTTGTTTGCTTCTTGTAATAAAGAGTTTAAATGCTCTACATGTGAGACTTGTATTTTCGCCAAAAGTCATCGCACTACTTTTTCCTCGAGCGATAACAAGGCATTGATGCCATTTACTTTGGTCCATTCTGATGTTTGGGGTCCTTCTCAAACTACTACATGTGGTGGTATGCGATGGTTTGTGACTTTTATTGACGACTGCACACGTATCACCTGGATTTATTTGCTCAAACACAAGAGCGATGTGAGTCGTATTGTTAAGGAATTCTGTACGATGGTTCAAACTCAATTTGCTACCACTATCAAAGTGTTGCGTTCTGACAATGGCAGTGAATATGTTAATCGTGATCTTGCTGAATTCTTTATCTCCCAAGGAATGATTCATCAAACATCATGTCCCTACACTCCACAACAAAATGGTGTTGCTGAGCGTCGCAATCGCCAACTCTTGGAGGTTACCCGAGCCTTTCTGATTCATCACAATGTTCCCAAGTATCTATGGGGGGAAGCATTGCAGTCTGCTATATATGTGATAAATCGAGTGCCTTCCAGTGTACTTGGATTTCAAACCCCGCTTCAGGTTCTTCAAGCTAAAATGAAGACCATGCCTCCTGTCACTAACCTTCCTCCAAAGGTGTTTGGGTGTGTTGCCTATGTTCATGTACTTCCTCATCAGCGAAGTAAACTCGACCCATGTGCCATCAAATGTCTTTTTGTGGGTTATGCTTCCCATCAGAAAGGCTACCGTTGTTATCACCCGCCTACTCGCAAGATGTTTGTTACTATGGATGTCACCTTTCATGAGGATTTATCCTATTTTTCCATTGATGGCTCTCCTCTTCAGGGGGAGAATGATGGTGTAGAAGAGAATAGCCATGAGTGGCTTACAATTTCTGCATCTAAGTCTAATAATGTCCCATGTCTGGATGCTCAAGTTGAAACTGAAGCTTCTGATTCTGTCCCATGTGTGGATGCTGAAGCTCACACTGAGGCTATCATTGATGACCAAGAATTCAACTTTCAGACACCAGAAACTGAAAACACCATGGAAACACCATCTTATTCCCCTCTTTCTCCACGGCCCATCCAACCTACTCGAGAGGTCCCACATGAGGTAACTCCTGAAACTAATGATGTTTTAGGTAATTTAAATAACAATTTTGAGTCTCAACCATCAAAATATCAATTGCCTGTTCGAACAAACCGTGGTAAACCCAAACCTCAATATACTGCAGACCTAAATGCTAAAGCCAAATATCCCATCAGTAATCATGTGTCAACCCATAGATTATCCAAGTCATATGAGTCGTTCCTATATCAAGTATCTACTGTATCTATTCCAAGACAGTTGCAGGATGCATTAGCAGATGCTAAATGGACTGAAGCTATGGCAGAGGAGATGAGGGCTCTACAAAAGAATCAGACATGGGATGTGGTTCATTTGCCTCCAGGAAAGAAGACTGTTGGATGCAGATGGATTTTCACCATCAAACATAAAGCTGATGGCTCTGTCGAGAGGTACAAAGCTAGACTGGTTGCTAAAGGTTATACTCAGAAATATGGTGTAGACTACAATGAGACTTTTGCTCCTGTAGCTAAGATCAATACTGTGCGTATATTACTGTCTTTAGCTGCTAATTATGATTGGCCTCTATTGCAATATGATGTTAAGAATGCTTTCCTACATGGGGAGTTGAAAGAAGATGTGTACATGGATCTTCCACCAGGTGTTCCAGAAAGGACAGGAATGGTATGCAGGTTAAAAAGGGCATTATATGGATTAAAACAGTCTCCTCGATGTTGGTTTGGAAGATTTGCACTATCAATGAGGAAGTTTGGGTACAAACAGAGTAACTCAGATCACACATTATTTCTGAAGCTCATATTATTGATGTGCCATTTGTGAAGACAGAAGACCAGTTAGCTGATATCTTGACCCATGCTGTTTCCACCACTGCATTTTCCAACTCACTTGACAAGTTGGGCATGCGAGACATCTATGCACCAACTTGAGGGGGAGTGTTGGCATGAGTTGGAAAATATGGTTGTATGGTCAACACGTGTGGGCACGTTAGCTTGTTTAGAGAATATTGTTTTATGGCAGACAGTTAGCATGTGTTAGGAATGATTTAGACAACTAGCTTATCTTTATCTCCATACTTTTATGGAGCACTTTCACTTTGTAATGTGTATATATATTGACCTCCCCATTTGGAGGAATATTGAAATAAAACTACTCTGCATTTGACAGGGGACCACCTCATTGGGGCTGAATTTAGGAACTACTTCTCTGAGTTGTTCAAGTCTGCAGGTCCGAGAAGTTGGGGGAATATCTTAGATGCAATCCCAAGGTTAGTGACTGATGATATGAACTCCTTGCTTACTGCCCCATTCTCTGAGGAGGAAGTTTCTTTGGCTGCGCATCAACTAGGAGCTTTTAAAGCTCCTGGACCTGACGGCTTCCAAGGTTCCTTCTACCATAAATTTTGGGAAGATGTTAAGGAAACTGTGACAGGAGCAGCAGGAGACCTTTTCAATGGCATAGCCCAAATGAGGATCATTAACCAAACTTTTATTGCTTTAATTCCGAAGGTGCAAGCCCCTGAAACCACAAGCCAATTTCGACCAATCAGCCTTTGCAACAGCTCTTACAAAATCTTGTCCAAGGTTTTGGCTAATCGGATCAAATCGGTGCTTCCTGAGGTGATATCTGAATCCCAAACGGCTTTTGTGCAAGATAGGCAAATCCAAGATAATATAATCGTGGCCCACGAAGCTTTCCACTACCTAAAGCTGAAGAGAACCGGGTGCAAGCTTGAAGCTGGCTTGAAAATTGATATGAGTAAAGCCTTCGACAGAGTCGAATGGGATTTCCTAGTAGGAGTAATGAAAAAATTGGGTTTCAGTGATTTCTGGATTAATATGGTGATGGCTTGTGTTTCCACTGTTTCATTCTCAGTTTTGGTCAATGGGATTCCTGGGCAACCTTTCCAACCTACTCGGGGTTTGAGGCAAGGTGATCCCCTCTCCCCATACCTCTTCCTCATCATCACTGAAGCCCTTTCTAGAAATATTATGAAGTGTATTGAATCTGGTGAAATCAAAGGCATTAGAATTGCTCGTGGCAGCCCTACTCTATCACATCTTTTCTTCGCCGACGACTCTTTGTTCTTCTTAAGGGCAGATCAACGAAACTGCTACAGGTTCCGTGAATTACTTCATGATTACTGTTTAGCTTCGGGGCAGTCTATAAATTACGATAAATCTTGTATGTATTTTAGCCAGAATACCTCTGCTAACACTATGTCCAGCATCAGCTCATTACTGGGATTTAAAGAGGTTTCAAATCCTGGAACCCACCTTGGTCTCCCAACAATATGGGGCAGATAAAAAAAAATGGCTTTGGGCTTCGTTAAAGAGAGAGTCAAGAAGAAAATTGAAGGGTGGAAAGCAAGCTGTCTTTCCTTAGCCGGCAAGGAAGTGTTGATTAAGGCAGTTGCTATGGCAGTTCCGGCCTACCCGATGCATTGCTTCAAATTTCCGGCAGGGCTTTGTCAAGAAATAAATGGTGATTTAGTAAGGTTTTGGTGGGCTAATCAAGAGAATGACCATAAGATTCACTGGAGGTCCTGGGAAAAACTTGGCATGAGAAAGGAGAATGGAGGGCTTGGTTTTCGTGACCTCTTGGATTTTAATCTTGCCCTCCTTGGCAAGCAATGCTGGCGGCTAATCAATAACCCAGATTCTCTTTGGGCTCGTATTCTAAAAGCTCGTTACTTTCCGAATGGTGACTCTTGGAATGCAGAGGTGGGACACAGAACCTCATGGGCATGGGCAAGTCTCATAGAAGGGAGAGACACTGTGCTCAGGCATGCAAGGAAGCAAATCTTTAATGGGGCTGAAACTAATATCTGGGTTGATCGCTGGCTTAAGCTTCCGCATAATGATGTTATTGTTCCCACTAGACCACTCTCTGCTAACACTCCAATTTTTGTGGAGGAGATCATGAATAAACGCGAGCGTTCTTGGGACTTAAGCAGAGTGAGCCTATTTTTAGATCAAGAGACTATAAGATGCATTATTTCTCGGCCTATTGGCATTTCAAGCTTGCCAGATAGATGGATTTGGCCTTGGACTTCAAATGGAGAATACTCAGTCAAATCTGGGTATCATATCACTCATTCAATGGCAAATTCAAGAATTGTTGGTCCACCTCAGACATCCCATGTCATGTCTACTTAGGTTTGGAATTCAAATCTGGGTATCATATCACTCATTCAATGGCAAATTCAAGAATTGTTGGTCCACCTCAGACATCCCATGTCATGTCTACTCAGGTTTGGAATTGGCTTATGGAAACTAAAATCACTTCCGAAAATCAAATTTTTCTACTGGAGAATATTATCCAATGCTATTGCTACAAAGCTCAACCTCTTTAAAAGGAAAATCAGCCAGTCTCCCATGTGCCCCGTCTGTGAAAATAATGAAGAATCTGTGGAACACCTATTTCTTCTCTGTCCATGGACAGCAGCTGTGTGGTTTGGCTCCCCACTAAACTACAGGGTCCATAACCAAAGTATCACTACCTTTGATAACTGGTTGAACAGTATGTTCCAACTCAACCTTACTTCCAGTTCGAACAGGAATTGGTTAATGACCATCATTAGTTTCATTCTATGGGAAATCTGGAAAGCCCGTTGCAAATTTGTGATTGAAGGAAGGCAACTTCATCCCATTCATGTGCTTGATCAGGCTATGAGGGCTGCAAATGAGTTTATTGAAGCTAATGTTTCCCAGTCCACCCACTCTGATTTTGTTTCTCTTATCAGTACGAGAGCCTGGACTCCCCCAAGTGATGGTTTTGTGAAGGTCAACATGGATGCAGTCTGGATTAAGGAAAGTAATCGCTCTGGAGTGGGAGTGGTAATTCGAGATTCAGCAGGGAATGTCTGTGGTGGTTTGGCGGAAAACTTGTATTGTTGTTCGGCTCTTCATGCTGAAGCTGAGGCTGCCCTTCGTGGCTTATCTTTAGCTAAGAGGAAGGGTTTCTCAAAAGTAATGCTTGAGACAGATTCAACTATTTTAAAACAGAGTGTTGAAGGAAAGACTAACAATGGTGCTTGGTCCATCCTTCCCACAATTCTGGAAATTAGAAGGCTTGCCAACTGATTCCAGAGTGTTGAATGGAGTTGGATTCCTCGAAGTATCAACAAAGCGGCTCATGCAGCGGCTAGTATTGGCATCAGAGTGGTGGTTTCCTACCATGACACTTTATCATGCACATGCGGATGATTGAAGAAAGTTGCTGCACGAGAAAGAGTAATGCAATTCCTTATGGGACTGAATGAGACTTATGCCGCCGTCTGGGGACAGATTTTGATGATGCAACCCCTGTTATGTTTTCCTCTTTAGATCGATGCACTAGATACTAAGTTATATTAGGTTTTGATAAGAGTTTAAATTAAGTTATACCTTGAGACCCAAAACCTTATTCTCATCATAAAGAGAGAGCTAAAACAGATTTTGAGAGAGAGCATAAGTCTTGAGCCGTTCTTGTTTTTGCTAGGATTGTTGCTGCTGCGGTTGAATGAGTTCAGAGGTCGTGTATTCAAGAAAGATAGCACCAGGTATGTATTTACGTATTTCATATTGTGTGAAAGATCATGAACACGCATTTAAAGAAATCTAACAGTTGGTATCAGAGCCAAGTTATTCACACACACTGAAATCGTTTTTCAAGCATGCCTATTGCGATTTCTTATTTGTTTATGCCATGATGATTTTTGGTTATGTTTAAAATTTGAAGATGGATTAAACATGTTTTCTAAAATATCAAGAATTTTAAAGAATCTGGAAAAGCATGTTTTAATTTGATTTTTCATATCTCTTCAAAACCTTAAACATGTTTTTGACCTACCAGATGACCTTAAAACCCTAAAAATGCCCATATATCACAGCATAGTTATGAGTTGTGTTAATTAGGTCATTCCCTATTCAGAAAGGTATTTTGCGTCAAAGGGTAAGGTATTTTGCGTCAAAAAGGGACACCAAGAACCCCTAAAACACTGTTCATGACAGAAATTTATTCCATTAAATTGGATTGTTCATTCCAACAATCAAACACTTCTTTAAAAGACTGTAATTGATGTTATTGGTATTTAACCGTCATCTATTGTTATGCATTTTATAAACAAAACGAAAAAAATTATAGCATTCCTATTGTATTTCAAAATTCATTCATAGCTGGTAAAAAAAAAAAAACAATTTATTTTGACACCATCTTGAAAAACAATCTTCCTTTTCATTCTCAGTTCGGAGGATGAGGGCCCTCTTTGAAATACTTCTTGACTAAAAAAAAATTAAAACTTTTTTATCATCCATGATTGAGAAACCATCACCCAACTTTTTGATTAATAATGATCTCAACCATTAGCCGTTAAATGGAATCATAATTCTTCAAATGGTAAAGCTGTCCACTATATTCAAGTAAATATAATTGGGGGAATAAAGTCGCTATCTATTTCTGAATAAATAGCATTAATATTCAAATAGATAATTAAAAATGGATAGGTAAACCCCCCAAAGTTTTTTTCTTGGACTTTTAGAGAGGCGATAACATATTAAACTCACACACACTACACAAATGTTAAGACTCGAACCCAGTATGTTTCTCGGGGAGCAATTACTCCAAACCACTACACTAGTGGATCCTTTCTCCGCCCCCAAAGTGCTTATTTAACCAAGTTTGCAGCGTAAATCCCATTGACCAGGCGAACTTTTTCGAAACGGCCAAGTTAGGAACGGATGTAGGAGCCTCAGAAGACAAACCAAAACTCGGAGAGGGAGAAATCTCAACAGAGCCAACAGGGGAAGATGAGGGAGGAGAAGGCGGAGAGTCAGCTTCGAGTGCAGTAGGAGCAGCCTTTGGTGGAGCGCTCGATGGAGAAGGGGAAGGTGAAGCCGTAGATGGAGCGCTCAATTGAGAAGGTGCATGAGACTTGGCAGGTGATGATGCATGGGATTTTTCCATTGTTGAGGCCAGCAAGAGGGAAGCCATTAGCACCAAAATGACATTACTGAATCGACCCATTGGAGAGAGAGAGAGAGAGAGAGAGAGTTATGGGGTTTTAGGGGTGTTTAAGAGGCAAATGAAGAAGCCAGGGATGGGTTTATTGAGAGAAGATGTTGGGTTTTATAGAGGGACGCTGAGGAGGCTTGGCTTGTAGAACACTGGTCCGTTGGATTGTGAGAAACTAGTTTGAACGGTGGAGATTTCTCCAGGGTGGATTTGGTTGGAGCCAAACGCAGTTTGTTTGTATATTGGCCTGCTTTTCCTAGCTGTTGTATGTAAAGTTGAAGTTGATAATGTAACAGTTAGTTTCCATAAGTCCTAACAAGTTCCTCCTAATTTATTTGTCATTCTTGTTCATCGTTTCTAAATTTAAAATCATTCATCATTTACGAAAACAAGATCCATTACTGACAATAAAAAACAATTCATTATTGTTACACCATCTAAAATAGAGTGATGCTATTTTCACCCCTTATCCTATTTCTCCACTCACCTTATCTTCAAACTTTTAAAGACAAATTTATCCCTTTATAAAATGACTTCTAAAAATTTAGGAAAAAAACATAACTCACCTATTATTTAAAAATAATTTAACTTTGAAATTTTTAAAACCAAAAATAAAAACCTCGTAGCCCCTCTCTCCCTCTGTCGACGCAATAGCCATATGTAGATGCAATAAAGCAAATCCTACGTGCTTACGTGGGAATTACACTACTACCTCAAAGCACAGGAGCAGGAGGTAAAGAAATTTTCTCAAATACATTGGAACACTGCAGAATCCATACATCCATCCATTCATAGTTATTTAGTTATTGTATTCATCATCTGTGGTGTAGTGTAAATTCATGGACTAAACGACCACAACCAGAGCAGCATTACCCAACAATCATTCCCAACATCAAGATTATTCATCATAACCTCAACGCCTTTGTGGAAGCATATATTTTGATAATCAATGGGTGGGTGACATGTGGAAAAGGGAAATTCCTTTGGTCAATTAATTATCCTAATTAAATTCTATTTAATTAAGGGAATTATAATTGATTTAAGATAAGAATATTGCCCTAAATCAAGGATGAGATTTCCATCGAATCTCCTTGATTAATTTCAATCTCCTATTTTTGGGTAAGAATAATCCTAATTTAATAAGGATTATTCTTCAAACCTTAGTTGATAAGGAGCACTATAAATACATGGTTACATCACACCTATGAGGTAATCCTAAATCCTTAGCCGAAACTCTCTCTCTCTCACGCCACCACCACACACAGATCTGGCCACCCGGTTCTCTCGTACCATAGAAAAAACTCCGACCACTTTAGCTATTGTCGTATCTTTTTCAAGGTTCAATTGAACTAACTTAGGCATTAGAGGGTCTTTGGCCAACATCACTCAAGTGTGGTCTATTTACTCCAACCTTTTTCGCAAGGATCGAGAGAGAAAAAAGAGAAGGAAGAATGAATTTGCTCAAACATTTTGGTCAAGTGTGGTCTATTTACTCCAATCCTCGGATTTACGTAACCTTGGGTTAAGACATCATTCACACCTTAATTATAAAATTTAATAAAAACTATAACTAAAATGTGAAGAAACATTTAAATAAATATTTTACATAGAATATTCAGTGGAAACGACAACATCTGAAATCTTAAAAAAAATTCATTATTTTACAAGTTAGAACTACTCGAGAATTCACTAAAAGAGTAGCTCATTATTCATCCACAAGCTATGTACACAATACACTCTATAGATATGCCAAAATCATCACAAGCTCTAGATTTCAGGTTCGGTACCTGCAAAATCTATTAAGGGGTGTGCGAAATCATAGCTCAGTAGGGACATAAACCTTTTTACAGGAAATTGATATAACTAAATTAAGTGACATACAATCACACAGCCAAATATCACATTATTCATAATAATACATGAATGCTCTTCATCTAATCTCGTTAATTCATATAACTAGACAAGCATACCTGCACGTCCCATACCATGCTTATACCACTTGTTCCTGAATGCCCATTTATATGGACTAACCCCCATCTAAATCGTCCCATAAATCCCCTTTTGTTAGTCATCTTGTCTAACTCCCTGTCGCCAGTCCCGTATCACCCAATAAAAACCATGTGCACTGTGGGATCCCTGAGATCTAGTACCTGCCAAGAGTTAG